ATGTATTTGTATGGAATGTATTTGTATGGATGAGTGGAGGAATTAAAAAAACAAAACAAAACAGACAAACAAAGGATTGTAAAAGTAGATAGGAGAAACTTATTGCTAAAAACAGCCGACGACCGGACGTTAAAGCATGCGGGTTTAACAGATACTTTACTAACGATAGGGAAAGTGACTAGGCGAGTAAAATGTGCTCTCACCGAAAGTTTGCAGCAAGATTTGTTGCTAGGGGCCGATTTTTTTGAGAAAGCAAGAGCGACAATAGATTTTGATAAAAAGGTATTAACGCTGTGGAGATCAGTAGTACTGCTATTAGCAAAAACAACGAGAGGAAGTGTGACAGATAGATACTTACTCAGGGTTAAGAAAGCGGTATATGTAAATCCTCATACCCAGGTAAAGGTGTTAACAGGCTTGAAACTAGGAGCTAGAGGGGGAGAGACAGTGGCAGTAGAAGGGGCAGCTAATCTCAAGACGTTTCAGAGAATAACAGAGGTACACGTGGTTACTACGGTAGACATGGTCAGTACAAAGGGGGTACATTGTGTGATTAAGAATGAGACGGACGAAGGCTTTATTTTTAGAAAGAATTACACAATAGCCATAGCTGAGATCGTGTACCAACCAAGGGTACGGCGGGCCTGTAGCGTAATTAGCCAAGAAAGTGAGAGTAAGAAAGCGCCACCTAGTGAGGACCCACTTTCGAGAATAAACCTACAGGGATTAACACAGAGTAATAAAGGGCCGCTGAAGAAGATACTAGAAGCAAGTTGATACTAGCTGTTTGTACTTAGCAATAAGGATCTGGGTAAAACATACCTGGTTAAGATGTATATCGACACGAAGGACGCGCCACCGGTACGAACGCATCCATATAGAGTGCCGTTAAACCAGCAAAAAATAATCGACGCGCACGTAGACAAAATGTTAGCACACGAAATTATCCGACCCAGTCAAAGTCCTTATAGCAGCGGGGTCGTTCTCGTAGAAAAGAAAGATGGCTCCATACAATTTTGCGTGGACTATAGGAGGCTGAATAAGATTTCACATGGAAGCTCGTACCCACTACCGATTATCGAAGACATGCTAGCCAAGTTAGAGGGGGCCAAATTTAGAAGTAGCCTAGATCTTTGCTCCGCATATTGGCAGATAGAGATGGCGGAAGAAGACAAACATAAGACAGCTTTCTGTACATACAGAGCTCAGTATGAATTTAATAGAATGCCGTTCGGGTTACAAGGGGCAGGTAGTAAATTTCAGGATTTAGCTAATAAAGTATTAGACGGTCTACAGCACACATGTGCAATGGCGTACCTAGATGACATATTGATATATAGCGATACATTCGAGAATAATTTGAAACATATCTCAGAAGTGCTCAGCCATTTACGTAACGCAGGACTAAGAATAAAAGCTTCAAATGCGATTTCTTAAAGCCATCCCTTGAATTCCGGTGACATGTAATAACAAACGAAGGTATCGCCTCTAACACTAAGAAAGTAGAGGCAATCAAAAAGCTAAAGTCCCCATCCACAGTGAAAAAAGTAAGACAATTTCTCAGGATGTCAAATTTTTACAGAAAATTCATAAAAGGTTATGCAAAGATCGCTGAACCATTGACCAAGTTAACGGGGAAGTACATTAAGTTCGAGTGGAGCCCCGACGCACAGGAAGCATTTAACGAGCTAAAAATGAGACTACAGACAGCCCCATTCTCGCATATCCAAATCTGCAGAAGCCATACTGGCTACGGGATATACGATAAAACTGTATACGGACGCGTCACAGATAGCAATCAGGGCAGTGTTAACACAGGAGGACGATGAGGGGAACGAAAGGGTAAATCCATTTATCAGTTACGCATTCAACAAAACGCAGCTACGCTGGCCGACTATTGAACGGGAAGTCTATGCCATCGTTTTTGCTATTTGGCAACTGAGAACGTACGTATATGGAGCAACATTTTCCGTGTTCTGTGACCATAAACCTTTAAAATCCTATTCGAATCGAAAAGCGTTAAGAACGCTCGCATTCAGAGATGGGCAATTACGCTATCAGAGTACAACGCAGAGATCTGTTACCACGTGGGTAGACTGAATGTACAGGCACAAGCACTCTCGAGAGTGTCTGGGACAAGCCGCTGAGCGGCAGCGACGTAACTACGACCGGGGAGTGCGGCCATGTGCTATGGGTATGCGCTCTTGAGTGTGGTACTTCTACCTGCCGGAGGACGTAAAGATTGGTTTGCCATGGACAGGGCCATATCTAGTCATCCGAGAGCGGGGAAGCCTTAGATGGATACAGAAGAAAGAGGGAGCCACAGTGAAGGTGGTGAGTGTAAATGACCTCAAGCTCTTCGAGGGGGAACGCCCTCTCCAGGCGTGGGGTTGGCCCGAGGAGGAGACGCAGAATGGTTGAGTATTACCAGGCGTGGGGTTGGCCCGAGGAGGAGACCCTGGTAGTGGAGGAAGAGGCGGCTACAGAACTAGAAGGGAATGCAACCGAAGTAATGGAGCCTGGCACAGAGGGAAGGCAGGAGAAGGATAGAGATGAGCGAAGAGAGAGGAAGACAGAAGTCGACGACGGCGACTCCCCGAGACCTGTGGTGACCCCACCTCCGCAGGCGGAGACTGATGAGCGTGGAAAACGGTCGCCAGTAGATGTAGAGGTGAAGGAAAATCCTGAGGGGGAAGTGGACGTTGGGATCTCAAACACGAACTATCGACGGCAGGGGTTGGCTATTCTGCCCGAGCAGGAGACGCGGTCGCAACGTCACGTGCGCGCGCCGCAATTCTACGGGTTTTAGCCGAGTGCCAGAGATACCGCCACCAGGGCGCGGGGAGAAAATACCTGGCGGATAGTACGTTCCAGCAAGGATGCGGGTCGCCACCGCGGAACAGTGGAAGCGCAGGGGATGCGAAGGAGATGGTGGCTGAGGTAAGGGAGTCGACCACACCTGCCACTACGCTGAGAGAGAGAGACACGACGTGGCCATGAGTTCGCGTCGGCTGACGGCCAGGGAGCGCAGGGACGAGAAGGTAGGCAGACGAGCATCGGCGAGAGCTTCTGAGGCGGAAGATGGGGGAGTCGGGTCACACCGACGCCTTCCCCAGGACGATCGCCACGCCTGGCGCTCAGAAGATTGGAGTGTTGATGCCCAAGTGCGGGCGGCAGAATTGCTGTCGACCACTTCCGTCCCAGCAGCGACAAGCCCGGCGACAAGTGCCGACCTGAGAATGTCGTGGAAGCGACGATGGTAGCACTGGAAGTGCAAGAATAGTGGCGAAGCGTCGACGAGAATGTTGTAGGAGCAACGGTGATAGCATGGTGGAAAAAGAGTGCCGGTAAAGACGACGAGGAGATTCTGAGGGTAGTGGCGGGAGGATGAGATGACGAGCGGAACTGTTATGAAAACAGCCGACGCAGAGGGAAGGCGACACTAGCACGGCGACGTGGTGCGGTTTTCAAACGCATCACGCCGTCGCAGAGTCGCGCGAAATAATAAATGTAGCGGTAAGAGATAAAAAAAAAAGAAGCGCGAGAGCGCGAGATTAGTGATGGAGTGAGCGCGCTAGTCAAGGAGGCAGCGCGGGGTGACGCGAGGTAGTAACGGAAAGAATTATAGGGGATCCCCGTCTATGTATATTGCACCATGTAAAAGTGTATTGTGTAGTTAAAACAATTAGCAATGTTAGTTAGGGTAATGTGCAGACTACGTATCCGCTGCAGAGTAAAGTTGTGATGGCGCAGCACGGTAGGGGTATGAATGTATGCTTTGTATAATTATAAGGCGGTACGAGTGAGTGCCGTATATCAGCAGCGCTGGCAAGCAAAATCAGAAATAGACGCAGACAAGCGATTACGCGACATTCGCTTGTGCAAGGATGGCGTGGTTCGTTGAGAGATTAGAGGCGAGCACGTATGTGCGGTTAAACATACGCACCGTGTACCGTTACGCACCCACGGTGGCTAGAGGCGTGCGCGACGAGTTAATTTATGCACTGTAGGGCTGCTATCGCGCGCGAGCTGCGCTAGCGACTAGTGAAGCGGGAGATGAGAAAGGGAAACGGCCGGTATGGCTAAGAACCTATAGTGTAATTACGTGAAAGCGGATAATTAAGAATGTGTGTGATAGCGCGACAATGGTATAATTCGCAATAGTGAGTAGTTAGCGATACCGTATAGTTCGCGATATTGTATCGGTTGCAATATTGAATAGTTGAGAGGTATAGTGTAGTTTGCGATGTCGAGAAAGTTGCAATGTTGGGTAGCTCGCCGCAGGGGGAGCTCGCAAAAATGCGCGGCGGCGTATTATTAAGGAATCGCGGCGGTACGCGATATGGTGTGAGGAAAGTGAGGTAGAAAGAAGGAAAGTTAGGTTTGTCTATATTAAAGTTATGCTAGTTTGTAAGGGGTGCAATAAGCGGAATTTTGCGGGCGCGAGATGCGCGCGTCAAGAAGTAATGCGAGGAAGGAAAGGCGTTGAGCGAGGACAGGCCGCACGATCGGTAGAGGAAAGCGTTGATCGAGACTGAGCTACTGTGGGCATTCGCACAGACTGATCACAGACTAAGCGCGCCCTGCGGCCAGCTCTCGCGGGAAATCAACATCGAGATCAGACGACGGCTACGGCGAGAGGAGGAACTCGCTGAGGAGAGGCGCATGCTCCCCACCATCGAGGTGGGCCCGTGTGGGCCAGGGCGGTGGACGGTGGGGTGACGAGCGTGCGGCGCAGGCGATTGCCTGATTCCGTCTGGAAGATTGCGTATATTGGGGGGCCTAGCTCCCAGGAGGTCGCGCTGTTTGAGAAGGAGGTAGTGTGACGGAGTCAGGAATGAGCGAGGCGCAGGGAGGCTGTTTTTGCCGGCTTTGTGGAATTGAATGGTTCGATTCGTAGATCGAATAATTCAATTCACGGATCGAATGATTGGATTCACAGATCGAATTATTCGATTCACGGATCGACTGATTCGATTCACGGATGAAATGATTCGATTCACGGATCATTCAATCTGCGAATCGAACCATTCGATCCTGAAATTCATACCGGACCACTTTTCTGACTCTAGCGCCATCTATCAACAACTTGAGCAAAAAGGCACTAGTTCAAATTTGGAGCATTTTTACATTACGATAATTAATAAATTTCTATAAGTACTATAGCTCATAATAAGCAGAAGATATCAAATAATAATGTTACAATATATTCTTAGCATTTTGAGTTGACAATGGGTAGAGCGTAATTGAGGCGATCACAACTGTCTGGCGCGAAATATCTCACGTGTGCGAAATATCTGAGATAGAATGCGTATGCGCATGAGTGCCGACCCGACTAATGACAGCTCGTCTTTGTGTTACGATAGGTTGTGTACACTAGTACACTTGAAGGTTTGTGTAAAATTTGGAGAAGCTGGTGGAGAAGGAGGTGGGGAGAAGCTGGTGGAGAAGGAGGAAGGAGAGAAGGGAGCTGGTGGAGAAAGAGGGGGAGAAGGGAGAAGCTGGTGGATAAAGAGAAGGAGAAGCTGGTGGAGAAGGAGGAAGGGGAAAGGGAGAAGATGGTGGAGAAGGAGAAGGGGGAGAAGCTGGTGGAGAAGGAGGAAGGAGAGAAAGAAGAAGCTGGTGGAGAATAGGAGGGGGAGAAGGAGGGGAGAAGAGAGCTGGTGGAGGAAGAGGGGGAGAAGGAAGAAGCTGGTAGAGAAGGAGGAAGGGGAGAAGAGAGAAGCTGGTGGAGAAGGAGGAGGGGGAGAAGCTGGTGGTGAATGAAGAAGGGGAGAAGGGAGAAGCTGGTGGAGGAGGAAGGGGAGAAGGGAGAAACTGGTGGAGGAGGAGGAGGGGGAGAAGCTGGTGGAGAAGGAGGGAGGGAAGAAAGGAGAAGCTGGTGCAGAAGGAGGAGGGGGAGAACTGGTGGAGAAGGAGGAAGGGGAGAAGGGAGAAGGTGGTGGAAAATGAGGAGGGGAGAGGCTGCTGGAGAAGGAGGAGGGGAGAAGCTGGTGGAGAAGGAGAAAGAGGAGAAGCTAGTGGAGGAGGAGCGGGAGAAGGGAGACGCTGGTAGAGAAGGAGGAGGGGGAGAATCTGGTGGAGAAGGAGGAAGACGCGAAGGGAGAAGGTGGGGGAAAAGAAGGAGGAGAGAAGCTGGTGGAGACGGAGAAGGGCGAGAAGCTGGTGGAGAAAGAGGAAGGGGAGAAGGAGGGGGAGAAAGGAGCACGTGGAAGAGGAAGGGGAGAAGGGAGAAGCTGGTAGAGAAGGAGGAAGGGAAGAAGGGAGAATCTGGTGGAGAAGGAGGAAGGGGAGAAGCTGGTGGAGAAAAAGGAAGAGGAGAAGGAGGAGGAGAAGAGAGCTGGTAGAGGAAGAGGGGAAGAAGGGAGAAGCTGGTGGAGAAGGAGGATGGGGAGAAGCTGGTGGAGAAAGAGGAGGGGAAAAAGGAGAAGATGGTGGAGAAGGAGGAGGCGGAGAAGCTGGTGGAAAAGGAGGAAGGAGAAAAAGGAGAAGCTGGTGGAGAATGAGGAGGGGAAGAAGGAGGGGAAGAAGGGAGCTAGTGGAGGAGGAAGGGGAGAAGGAAGAAGCTGGTAGAGAAGGAGGAAGGGGAGAAGGGAGAAGCTGGAGGAGAAGGAGGAGGGGGAGAAGCTGGTGGAGAATGAAGAAGGGAAGAAGGGAGAAGGTGGTGGAGGAGGAGGAGGGAAGAAGCTGGCGGAGAAGGAGAGAGGGAAGAAAGGAGAAGCTGGTGCAGAAGGAGGAGGGGGAGAACTGGTGGAGAAGGAGGATGGGGAGAAGGGAGAAGGTGGTGAAAAAGAGGGATGGGTAAAAGCTGGTGGAGAAGGAGAAGGGGGAGAAGCGGGTAGAAATGGAGGAAGGGGAGAAGGGAGACGCTGGTGGAGAAGGAGGAAGGGGAGAATGGAAAAGCTGGTAGAGAAGGAGGAAGGAGAGAAGGCAGAAGCTGGTGGAGAAAGAGGAGGGGGAAAAGAGAGAAGCTGCTGGAGAAGCAGGCGGGGAGAAGCTGGTGGAGAAAGAGAAATGGAAGAAAGGAGAAGCTGGTGCAGAAGGAGGAGGGAGAGAAGCCGGTGAAGAAGAAGGAAGGGAAGAAGCTGGTGGAGAAGGAGGAAGGTGAGAAGGGAGCTAGTGGAGGAGGAGCGGGAGAAGGGAGACGCTGGTGGAGAACGAGGAGGGGGAGAAGCTGGTGGAGAAGGAGGAAGGGGTGAAGGGAGAAGGTGGTGGAAAAGAAGGAGGGGAGAAGCTGGTGGAAAAGGAGGAGGGCGAGAAGCTGGTGGAGAAAAGGGAAGGGGAGAAGGAGGGGGAGAAAGGAGCTGGTGGAGGAGGAGGGGAAAAAAGGAGAAGCTGGTGGAGAAGAAGGAAGGGGAGAAGGGAGAAGCTGGTGGAGAAGGAGGAGGGGGAGAAGCTGGTGGAGAAGGAGGAAGGGGCGAAGGAGGAGGAGAAGGAAGCTGGTGGAGGAGGAGGGGGAGAAGGGAGCTGGTGGAGGAGGAGGGAAATAAGGGTGAAGAGCTGGTGGAGAAGAAGGAGGGGGAGAAGCTGGTAGAAATAGAGAAAGAGGAGAAAGGAGACGCTGGTGGAGAAGGAGGAAGGGGAGAAGGGAACTGGTGGAGGAGGAGGAGGAGGAGAAGGCAGAAGCTGGTGGAGAAAGAGGACGGGAAGAAAGGAGAAGCTGGTGCAGAAGAAGGAGGGGGAGAAGCTGGTGAAGAAGGAGAAAGGGGAGAAGGGAGAAGGTGGAGGAAAAGGAGGAGGGGAGAAGCTGGTGGAGAAGGAGGAGGGGGAGAAGCTGATGGTGAAGGAAAAAGGGGAACAGTTGTAGCCTATGGCAGTACTATAATTATTAGAGGGGGTGCCCAATGCAGATATTCCTTAGAAGTGAATTACCGATGATTAAATGTTCGAACCACCCGTTTCCGAACCCCCCTACCGCGGCCGCCTGTATACAATGTCAATACATGTACAATGCGTACACACAGTGCAGGCGGGCGCGGTAGGGTGGGTTCGGAGTCGGGTGGTTCGAACATTTAATCATTTGTAATTCACTTCCGCGCGCATATATTTGCTAATATATTGACTAATCGTGCGTCAATAAACTCAATATTCACAGGGAGTATAGCTAAGACATGTGGCTATAGCTGTCTAGAATCTAGAAATGTAACTCAAGTCCTTCGCGAGA